TGGAAAACGATATGTCATTTGGAGAGTATTGTTATGACCATAGTCATCAGGAAAGTAGCACAGTTTCCATCTTTGGTCTGAGGAATTAGAGGGACAAAATGTATTGAAAGGACGATAGGGATAATAATTACGATGATGGGAAGTATCGCAAGTACTATAGAGGGCAGTTCCATTCAAAACTTCCAGTTGAACATAAAAATTAATTTCAATAACTTCTGTGTTCATGAACTTTTCTCTCAGCAAGTTTATTACAGTTTTGTTTTCAAGAAGAGCCTCTTCCAGTTTGAGGAATAAGCGAGAGTATTGCCAGTCTATGTCATCAAAATCACAGTTAAGGGCTTCCTTCGTCTGGAGGCAAAATAATGTTAGTAACAAATAATACACAAGCAAGGAGCCTTGCATGACGCTACACAGAGGTCAACAAACTGTCGTCGCGCGACTCTAGTAGGCTTGTTAGTGTACTCCGTCAGTGCTTTACTGGCCATAATGAGCACTGGTTGCATTGTTCAGGCAGTGCTTTATTATCTCTCCAGTGCTTTATAAAGCACTGGAGGGAACAATACAGTTTCCTAAAATGTCACATTGTTTATACAACAGCTTCCTAATATGGCTCATAGTTTATACAACACTGTTTGAATGTAGCTATACAGTACTATACACGCAAATACGTATGGCGGTTCAGTCAGCGCGATGCTACGAAGCGTTTGACTTGGGCATGGGGAAGACTGCCAGAGGAAACGTCGGTACAGCCTCCTCATCCCAAGAAAAGGCTACGCCTCTCTCTTGGCAAGGAAGCGCGCCCTCTGCGAGACACCACAAATCTCCGTTTTCCCGAGCACATGAGCTAGAACGCAGCCAAAGGGCCATCCTCTTCTACCGATTCGGTTCCGTCTGACCTGTTCGTTGATGAGCCATGACGCAGATTTGCCGCGCAAGTGGTTATGCCAGGCGGCGTCGTGCATTTTACATTTCCAGCTGCTCTGTCACTCCGCAGCTCTAACGCTCCGTATTTTCACACTAAATCAGTTAATGTACCCGCTTATGCTCGTGCACTACCGGATATAACGTAGGATATGCGTCTCGAGGCCACTCGGCTGCTTTATTAGCCTCTCTACGCATTCCTATAGCCGGTATATATAATTTATAGTGCACTCGCGCGGGTCGGGTACACAGTACACTTCCTCCAAGTGGGCATGCGCTGAATTGCTAATCGGATGCTATACGCATGCGTGTATGCGCGGCTTTGTACACGCTTCCGATCGATCTACCCAGCTAGAGACGGCGTGCGCTGCAACCTTCCGTGACTGACCGAGGCTGTATATACCCCTTCCCAATCTTCATGGTTCAAAGGTGCAACTTGCAAATACGCTAGGATTGCTCGTGCACATACTGCTGCATGCCAGCTGCCTGGTGGGCCATAGTCTGGTGCCCAGACCCTTCACAAAATATAAGCGCACGCGCGTAAACGCATGCGCGAGAGCGGGAGAAGGGGTCTTACAGAACCTCGCGTAAAATGGGTGTAAATGCCCTGATTCAATCATGGGACGATTTTACGCGACTTACCCCACGACTGAATCATGGCACGACTTTACGCGACCTACGCCATGATCCCATCATGGGGGAGTTTTACGCAGGTTGCAACCCACGTAAAACCCCGTCTAGTAGAAAGGGATGCTCTTACTATGGTACTGTTTTACGCGACTTGGTAATGATCCTCAAAAAGCCGGGGCGCCCTCCAGGATTGGGACCTTTGACCTCACTTAAAACCGCCCCAGAGTAATACGCCCGAGAACAACTGCTCTGCAAGACTTTTGCGTCGTCAATTCTAGACTTCTCGTAAAATCATGCCAGAGTAACTCCTGTCCCCTACTCTGCAACTTTTTTACTCGCGCGCACGCAGAGTACAGTGCAGTGCCGAGCGACGCGACACACCTACCTAGCGTGCGCATGCGCGTGTGGAGAATTCATTGCGCATGCGCACCAGAAAGACGGTTGGGAGCAAGTACCCAAAATGAGGGCTGGGCTCATAAAGACAAAGAAGAAGGCTGTGCATGTGTGAATTATGATATTGCTGGAGGAAAAGGATTAGACTTCACTCCATCTGCTGTGGATGGGGCTAGTGCTCACCTTGGAAAAGTTGCAAGGATCAAGTCAAAAAGAATGCTGCAATTTCAGCTAAAAACTGGATGCCAGCTCTGCTTGAGAGGGTTGCAGATGAGTTAGATGAAGAGGATTTCCAGAAGAGTGATGATACAGTTCAAAAAAAGAAAGACATACTTAAAAAACTTGGGCGTCCATATCTAGTTTCTGCAGGAAGAGACAATGGGATCAATTATATCTTTGTGATGACACCGCTTATGGCTGAAATTGCAGCTACGGCTGATCTTATTCAAACTGATATAACATACGATCACATGCAAGGTTATAAATACCTATTTCATGCAGTGGCATTTAATCATGTGACAATGGGAATGGATGATCATTGCACGCATATGGATGGATAAACAAAATTCAGATGCTTATGCATTTAGAAAACATTTTGAGAAATTCAAAATTTGCTAATCAGAATTTTGAAACTGGAACGACACTGCAAGGAATTGTTACTGATTGGAGTGATGCTGAAATCAAAGGACTCAAGAGTGTTATTGGTGAAGAGAATGCAACGAAACTTCTGGGCTGTAAGGTTCACTGGCTACGATCGTGTGAAAGAGTATCAGAGTGTATTTCTACATCATCAAATAAACAAATTGAACGTAATATGTTCATGAAAACCTTTACCAAGTGCTGTGGAAATAATAGCTTGTTTTGATGCCCTGTGTGGTGTAAGATCCATCAAAATGTTGCTTGAAATAATCCCAGGGGTTTGCTGAAGATGAAGCACACTATGTTGATATTATTGTGACTGGTCAAAAGCCCAAAAAATTGCCTCAATGGTGGTGCCGCAACACCCATTTAAGAATACTATGCAAAGCTTTTACAAAAATGAATGAAAAGCACTGAAGTGCAAACCCTCGGCGCATTGCTATACGCGCACGCGTAAGTAAACGCATGCGCCGTACCACTAATTGATGGGCTGGGTTTAGTTTTAGCTGTTACTCGTGGTCTCTTGCCAGCTCGCGCAGAGTCTGACGCGGACTAACTACACTACTAGATAGCATGCGAGCGGCGATACACGCCCTGCGTTGCATTTTCTGGCGCCTCCGAGGTACGCAGAGCACGCGGATCGATCAAACCTATCCCGTCCGTTGTGTATTTGCATATTGGCTTTTTCGCGCTGTAGCTTTGCAACGGAGCAGTTTCAGAGAAAACCGTTCGAAATGTCTGACCTTCATTGCCCTTTAAACGCGGAATCCGCGTAAACGGACGTAACGGGCAGTATGAGCGATGACGGGCTAGTTAACCCTCGGCGCGCATGCGCGAGGGTTACTGTAGTTGTCTTGTGTGTCTATCTGTCTGTCTGCCTGTGTGTGTATCTATTACCGCTCTAGCTGCTTCAGCGTCCGTTTATATCCGCAAGCAACGATGCACACGGGTTTCTCGTAGGTTTTTCTTGGATTTTGACTTGTGGATTTTCGAAAAAACCTTCCGTTCCAAAGTTATGGCGTGAAAACCAAGTGAACAAGCCAATTGCTAATTAGCACTGGCTTACCCCGACCTGATCCACTTGCTCTGTGTACCTCGGAGGCACAATAAGCCCAATACCAGAAATACTGCCTGTTTTTCGGACATCCTGTAAAACTATTCGTTTTCATGTACAAGTGATTGTTTTCATGTTTTTCTGCAAAGGAGCTCGTAAAACGGCTTGTTTCCATGGCAACACATGGGCGGGTTAGTGGTCATTATTTAGAAAGGATCAAGCGGCTCAGCGGCTGGTTTAATTGCCAGTCTATTGATGCTTTTACCAGACTACGTATATTTCAGCTACACTGAGGCTCTAAAGCTCGTGGTGGGAGTCAAGGTGACGCACGACTACCCAGAGATGACTGCTGTACATCCGCTGGAAGGAGCTGCTAGAGATGACTCGTGACTGTCGATTTGAACTTCTGATAGCTGAGCTTCATTTTTTCATAAAATGATTGTTTGTTCTCTCACTAAACGTTCTAAATTTGCCAATGTTGATACAACCTTCTCGGGCAAGAAGTGGAGAGAGCGCCAAATCTCCGCCGCTAGCTGCCACTGATAGCTATAGGTAGACCTATCACGAGTGGAATAGCTAGCTGTACGGTGAGTGAATCTTACGACTGATCTAGCCAGACAAATCACCCCCTGTCCAGCTGCCACAGAATTGATATACACACAGATTCTTACAAACATGAAAAAAAAGCAGGCAGTGTAGGCGGCGCCCAGTCGAGAACTTAATCCTATGACTCTGTGGCTACACAACACCTGCTATGTAGCTTGAAGGCCAGGTCTACGACTAGCTAGCTAAACAGCAGCAGACATCTGATGACCTCTCCTGGAGCCATAATGCCATTCCCGGCCTGCTCTGCCTTGGAATACCTCGGCTGAGCACCATTTTTTGTCAATATTTGGCAGGATTTCGCCGAAAGTGTAAACGTGTGGTAACAATTTTGACTGCATTTATTAGAAAAACACACCTTTTTAGAGATAATTATTTCGCTGGTCACAAAAACTGTAAGTGTCAAAAGTAAGTACAGAAGCGAAAATTATAAAAGGTACGAAGTGAATTTTGATATAGGCGTAATGCGGAAATCGAACGGAATCAAGGTGCTCCTACGTTTCGGTTTTTCGCCGTGCGGGTGCACATGGGTACTTCATAGAGGGGACAAGTAATGGTCGATGAACACTTGATGGTCGCAAACTGTGTCGAGCAATCTGGGTTGCTGGGACCTTGCCCCTTCTTCCTGATTAGGGAATGGTCGGTTGTATTTGCATCAGAATGCATGACCAAACTGCAGTAGCAGTAGTCACCTAGTTGCGCATGCGCATTTGTTCGCGCAGTACGAAGGTGCCACACCCTCCTTTTTCATCATCGAGAGAGCGACTAACAATGGCTACAGGTATGTGTTTATTCGGCAGGGTATTTTCTTGGCGTGTATGACCAGTGACACGAAGCTACGTGGCAAATATGTTCGCTAGTGAACTAGCTGTAAGCTCCATTCGTATTGCATAAGTACCGGTACAGCGAAAAAATTCTGCTTCAAATCCTGTTTCCAATCCTCATACAGGTCCTACCGTTTCACATGAGGTGCCACTCATTAACCTCTCCGATAGGCCAAAGTTGCCAATGTTCACTTCCTTTCCTGCCCAATCCGGGAAGTTTATCAACATCGTTCAAAGGATTGGAGCCAATTATCTATTGCTGGGCATACATTTGTTGAATGATGAGACTGGCTCTATAACACAGTCAATAATATCGTCTGATCCAAAATCACCAACCAACATCATTCTCAACATCCTATCATGTTGGCTACAAGGTGGTGGAAGAAGGCCAGTGACCTGGGTCACTTTTATTAATGTCCTAACACAAATCGGTCTGTTGGAATTGACTAAAGAACTATGTAAGTCACCGTAGTGTATCCTCCCCTTGACAGAGTAGTTGTATGACGTTAGATTTATGGTATGTTATCATTATTCATAATAGCTGCTATTCACATTCATAGCATTGCATGTACTCTGCGACAGTTCCTTTGGTCTCGTTGTTTTGCAGGTGCTTAATTCGTTCTGGAATCCTCTCGTTTAGCCTTAGTAGGTAATAGATTGCAAATTAACAGGATAAATCAGGGAGAATAATATATAGTATATAATTTTATATAGTGCCTGGAAATGAGGCTATAATATATTATTATACTATAGCTAATTCCCTCTTCCACCAAGTATATTGTGAGTTCATTGAGAGTTTACTCTGCCATAGCACAGTGGTTTGAGGTTTGTGTTGTGTTGTAGATTCGAACCTATACCAGCTGAGTTGCCCTGGTAGCTCAGTTGGTAGAGCACTCGCCTAGACTGCAGATTGTCATGGGTTCAAATCCCACCCAGGGCCGCTCTTCTTCTTGAAAGCTGTCCTGGGTGTAGGAACACTGTACTGTGTAGATTTGTTATCCTTGCCTTGCCTTTCTACCACGTTACCAAGTTGTTGAGATATGCATACTTGGTTTGGAGTTGGGCGTCTTTGGTGGTTCAATTACCCAGGTCTGCTCCTACATACTGAGTGAGAGTTTACTGTGCCATATCACAGTGGTTTGAGGTTGGCCATGTGTTGTGTTGTGTTGTAGATTCGAACCCCTACCAGCTGAGTTGCCACGGTAGCTAAGTTGGTAGAGTGTTCGCCTAGACTACAGAGTGGCGTGGGTTCGAATCCCACCCAGGGCAGCTCTTCTTCTTTTCTTTGAGCTGTCCTGGGTGTAGATGACTTGTTTGCCTTGCCTTGCCTTTCTACCTCGTTACCAAGTTGTTGTGACATGCACAAATCAGTTGCTAATTGAGAATGACGTAGTGGGATATTATTTCTCTTCCTCGATGCAGGTTTCAAGGGCAGCCATCATGAGGACCCTCAGAGTCCCCAGCTTACTGCTATTCCTGGATCTGCAGTATCTTCACCCTCTGTCCCACCAGGTTCCCGATTAGCTACTTCATTTTCTGTTAATTGTATGTTAGTGTAACTTTCGTGGCCTGCGCTGCAGTAGTGGCAGAGTCACAGACTTCCAATTAAATCATCGGCGCCCCTTAGGAGCATGGTTGAGTATTCATAGGCAGTGAGGTACAGAGAGCAAGGTGTGAATGAATCAATAGGTTTGTGTGGTGAATGCTGTGGTGTAGCATGTACAACAATATAATGAGAGCGAGATAATGAGAGCGAGACATGAAGGTAGGTGCCAGCTGTTACATGATATCACTTCCTCCTTGGAGTACGTCCCGGACTCCAATCTGTTTTATGTACATTTGGTCGATTATTCTGTCTGGGGGCTATTTCGTTGCGGGTAGCAACGTTGTGGCTGTTGAATGTTCGTGGATGGGAGTGTTCCGTCCTCCTCTGTTGAAGGAGCAGCTGCTGAACGTTCGTCTCACAATTTCACAAGTGGTGGTGGTGGTGTATCATCTGGTGTTGTGGCTGACAGTGGGCAGTTAGTTATTGTAGCGTGGCTTCAGCACGTTCAATAATACCGATAGAGATCGAGCACACATATGAATTTAGAAAGGTGCTTTTATAGTGTGTAAGTGTAAGGGGCGAGATATACAGGGGAACAGGATGACATGTGGGTATGTAAGTCAGGGGCAGGCGAGGGATTTTCAGGGGTGCGTGACACAACGTGGTCGGAGTCATGTAGCTCCTGTTATCCACCTGTTACACTGTCTCTCTCCCAATGAGGAATCCGCCCCGGATTTAGATCTGATTGTGGTAATAATCTGGAGGTCTCCTCTGTCTTGCTGGGTATCTGCGAGGCGGAGGGGGCGGCACAGCCGGTGGACGAAGGGAGCATCCCTGTCCCATCAAAGTGGGTGCTGCAGGAGGCGTAGGTAAATCACTGCCGTTATCTTCCACCAGTTCCAACGATGTCCCCACTGCGGGTTGTGAGATGGCTTGGTTTGCTTCTGTTGGGTCTCTTAATGTCTGATGTAGTGTTTGTGGGCAAACTCGTTGAGGGCACGGCTTTAAGCGATTGAAGTGCACCACTACACGCCGATTGTTCTTTAGATGCTGAATGCGGTAAGTGGCCTCCGAGATCCTCTTTAGAACACGGTAAGGTCCTTTCCAGGGTAGGAACAGTTTCTTCGAGTGTCCTTGCGGTATAGCTGGAGAGTGTAGCCAGACATATTCTCCCTTATTGAATGGATCTCCATGTATTCTCTTGTCGTATGGAAATCTTTTTCCCTCTTCAAACTGCACCCCATTTTATGGCGGACTTGTTGGTAGGCTTCCTCGAGACCCTCCTTCAGTTGAGCGGCATATTTTGCGACTGGCATTGATGGAGATGGGGCCCCATACATTAGGTCGATAGGCACTTTTGCTTGACGACCGAACATCAAGTAAAAAGGGGTATACCCTGTCGTGGCTTGTACGCTGCAATTATATGCCATACAGAAGCTCCTGAGATGACTCTCCCATTGGTCAGGATGGTCGCTGGTAGCCATAGCCATCATACTCAGGAGTGTATGGTTGACACACTCAACCAGGCCGTCTGATTGCGGGTGATACGGGGTTGTTCTGGTTTTGACAATTTCCAACAGGCGGCAGATTTCGGATATCACATCAGACACAAAATTGCGGCCCTGGTCAGAGTGCAACTGTTTGGGGAGGGCAAAGCGAAAGAAAATTTCGTTTGTCAGCCTGTGGGCTACAGTAGTGGCCAATTGATCCGGAATGCCGTAGGCTTCGACCCACCGAGTAAAATAATCGCTCACCACGAGTATGTAGCTACCGATTTCCCTGGGAAGAAATTGGGAATGGCCCCATGATGTCCATTGCTACCATTTGGAGTGGGTATCCCGTTTTGATAGGTATTAGAGGTGCTCGTGATCTTGGTGATGGTGCCTTCCGAGAGGCACAAACTGCGCAAGTTTGGCACCAATTCCTCACATCTTCATAATGGCCCGGCCAGTAGAAACGCTCCTTTAGGCAGTTTAGCGTCTTGTCTATCCCCAAGTGGCCTCCAGCGATACCTTCGTGCAGGGTACGGAGGATTTCCTCCTGCAATTTGTTTGGTATAACCTGCTGGACATGATTCTTCTGGTCATTCGCTTGTGCATAGAGCCGGCAGAGAACACCATTGCAGACTTGTAGTTGATCCCAAATCTGTATCAGACGTCTGGTGTATCGGCTTGCTCCACCCATATCCAAGGGGGTAGGTTTATGGCCAGACTCTTTTCCAAACAGTAGCGGCCCTAATAGAGGGTCTGCCAGCTGCGCTGCGCGAAGATCATCAGTTTGAACGGCGGGTGGGCGGACATCTGTAGTAAGGATATTCGCTGTATGGCAGGGTTGCTCATGTGTGGCCCGTCCGCACTGACTGCATGGAAGGTGAGAGAGTGCATCTGCATTGCTGTGACTTCTTCCCCGCCTGTGCACGATGGTAAAATCTAACTCCTGCACTTTCTCGAGCCATCGAGCTAACTGTCCCTCAGGGTCTTTGAAATTTCTCAGCCACGTCAAGGACCCATGATCTGTCCGTAAAGTGAACTCCTGCCCCAGTAGGTATGGCCGGTACTGGTCAACGAAGTAGACAACGGCTAGGAGTTCTTTACGTGTGACACAGTAGTTGCGCTCAGGCTTTGTGAGTAGACGACTGCCGTATGCTATCACATGCTCTTCGCCATCTTCTCCAATTTGTGATAGCACAGCCCCTATTCCGTTGTCACTGGCGTCGGTGTCGAGGGTGAACGAATGCTTGAAATTGGGGTGAGCTAAGACTGGAGCTTGGGAAAGAAGAAGGCGCAACTTTCCAAAGGCCTGTTGGCAGTCAGTGGTCCACACAAATTTGCTAGCATTCTCTGTTAGCCGGTGGAGTGGTTTTGCGATGTTCGCAAAATCTCTGATAAAGCGGCGATAATAGCCGGCTAGCCCGAGGAATTGTTGGACATTTTTGATTGAGTTGGGCTTAGGCCAGGTCAAAATTTTTTCTATTTTGGATAAATCGGGAGCTATGCCCTCTCTTGAAATTAGGTGGCCCAGATAGTTTACTCTCTCTTTGAAAAAGGAGCATTTCGACGGCTTTAGTTTCAGCCCTGCTTCGCGGAGCCTTTGGAGCACACTTTGGATGTTGCCTAGATGATCCTTGAAAGTAGTCCCCAGTATGATGATGTCGTCTAGATAGACGAGGCAATGCGACCATTGCAGACCTGAAAGCACCAGGTCCATTAGTCGTTGGAAAGTAGCTGGTGCGTTGCAAAGGCCGAATGGCATAACCCTGAATTGAAACAGGCCCTCCGTTGTACAAAAAGCCGTTTTCGATCGATCATCCTTTTCCACTTCGACCTGCCAGTATCCACTTAATAAATCAAGTGTACTGAACCACTTTGAGCCTGCCATAGCATCCAAAGTAGCATCGATCCGGGGCAGCGGATAGGCATCCTTGTGGGTAATTTGATTGACTTTCCGGTAATCCACGCAGAATCTAGTTGACCCGTCTTTTTTCCTTACTAGGACTATTGGCGATGCCCATGGGCTTGTGGAACGCTCGACGACTCCATTCTCCAGCATATCATTCAGTAGTTGCTGTACTTCGCTCCTTCTTTGGGGGGAGAGCCGGCGGACCGATTGACGAATTGGTGGGTTACTTCCCGTGTTGATGGAGTGACATAGTTCGTTGGTTCTACCCAGGTCAGAGGAGGAGTCCGCAATCACATCTGCGTAAGAGACAAGTAGTTGGTGGAACATTTCTTTTTGTTCTGCTGTTAACTCTGTGCCAGAGCCGTTGACAAGATCCCACAATATGGCATGTTTCCGCGCGGTGACCTCCTGGTTGCTGGACTCAGCTGGGCGGAACTCCACTTGGCACACCGATTCGGCTGCGGTGTACTCCAATATCGCCACTTCTTTACCAGCGTAGATCAGTGCAGGTTCAGATGTGGTATTGATGAGTCTCACTGGGACCTCTTCTGAAATGGGGCAGACCAGGGCACGGGCTGAAACCACTCCGACGGGCTTCTTGAGGCTGTTCTCGAGTGTCCAAGTTAGGCCTGGGTGTACTGGATCCTCGAGATGGGCCATGACCTCTAGTTCACTGTAGGCTGGAACCGAAATATTCCTCCGCACCTTCACTTTGATCTGCCCCAAAGAGGTTGGTGATTGGGTAGATTGTCGCAATGGCAGGGTGACTCCCTGAGCCTGTAAGAGTAACTCCTCGCTTTCTAGGTTGATCACAGCTCTCTGGTCCTTCAGAAAGTCCAGACCTAGTATTCCTTCTGTGGTGAGGGGACTAACGACAGCCACATCTACGGGGATGTTTTTTCCGTGGAGCTGTAGGGTCAGCGACGCGGTGCCGTGGGTCTTGAGAGTAGAGCCGTCCGCACCCACCAACTCCAAACTGGAGTTGGGTATCAGGTTGGGAGCCTTGCGAGGGGAGTTTTTGAGGATCCTCTCCCATGCTTCCTTCCGGAGCAGGGTGACCGCTGCCCCTGTGTCCAGCAGGAACGTGAGATCGACGTCGTTAATTCGGCCAAATAGCTTGTATCCTCCTACAGGGGAGACGGGGCATAGATCCATTTTATTAGAACGAGCCGCTGTTGCGGGTCCCTTCGGCGACGGGCTCTCTACACCGAAGGGCCGGAGTTTCCCTGCGGCTTTGCCGTTGGTCCGGCTGAAAAAGCAGCTGCCTGACAATTCCGGGCAATGTGCCCTGGCCGCTGACAGTTCCAGCAAACTACCCGTCGCCTCTGCTGAGTGGGTCGTGACGTCCACCGTGGTCTGGTGCTCTCATGACCCCTATCCCGTGGGGCGTGCTGCTTCTCTAGAGTTACAATGCGCTCCATGAGTCTCTCCATCCTCGTTGTCAGCTGCGCTGTGGGGTCATTTGTTACTGCAGCGACCCCGACCTCTTGCGGCTTCGAGCTACTATCGTCGCCATTCCTCGGCTCCTGGAGCGCTGAAACTCCGGTTGGTCGCGTGGCGGCGTAGGATTCCATCTCCAGAGTTGCCGCGACGGCATCGTCAACGGTTTTAGGCCTGGTCTGTTTCACGCCAAAGGCGACTTGAGGCTGCTCCAGTTGCTGCAGATATCTCTGCAGAGCAAGGCATTCCCTCGCTTCGACTTGTAGGTCCGGGTATGCCTTGTCAGCGAGGGAGAGCAGATCGTCAGCGAGGTCGGCCCAGTTCTCCGTCGGTTTCTTCCGACGAGCATCAAACTCGGCTTGATACCGAGTCATTCGGCTTTTGGGCTCGAATCTCTGCTGCATCGCTGTGGTAGCGGCGGCGTACGTCGCTTGTGACTCGGCGGGCAACCGGAAACGCCCGCTGTGCTCGACCCGTCAGGCGTACCCGTAGCCATTTCAATTTATCGTCGGCGGACCAGGAGTTAACCTCGGCCACATCCTCGAAGTGGAGTCTCCAATCGTCCCACGACGTCTCTCCGCTAAAGGGTTCTGGCAGAACCACCGGCTTCGCGGCCATCCTGCCGACTACGCCAATTGTAGCGTGGCTTCAGCGCGTTCAACAGTTTTCTCGGGTATAGTAATACCGATAGAGATCGAGCACACATATGAATTTAGCAAGGTGCTTTTATAGTGTGTAAGTGTAAGGGGCGAGATATACAGGGGAACAGGATGACACGTGGGTATGTAAGTCAGGGGCAGGCGAGGGATTTTCAGGGGTGTGTGACACAACGTGGTCGGAGTCATGTAGCTCCTGTTATCCACCTGTTACACTGTGATAGTGACAGCAGTACTGCTACTCCCTGTACTAGTCTTATATATCACCAGGAAGTGTAAGTACAGAGGTAAGATCAGTAAATACCTATAGAGCCCCTCACCTAACTAATGTTCATACTCTATGTCTTCTTTCAGGTAAAGGCAGTGGTGCTACAGAAGATGTCTCACTGCAGACAAATGAGGCCTACTGTACAGTAACTACTGGAGTTCCAATGAAGAGAAATGAGGAATATGAGACTGTGCTGAGACCAGAAACTGACACTCTATCTCCAGTGTATGATATTGTACACTAACAATAAAGTTGAAAGTACACGCGACAGCCCTGCAAACACGATTATGTGATCATATGAGCATATTTTCTTCCAAATGTTATGAAAATAGCAGCAAATACTTTTCACTAGCTACCAAAGTCAATACCGAAGTCACAAACAACCTCAAGTATGTACCGTAACCCTAAAGAATTTCATTTTTCTACCATCTATGTTTGTGGATATATTTATATGTATCATACTCTACATGTGTTGTCGTGACTGTGCTATCGTACAGTTTCTCACTGTGTGGCTGTCATTTGGGTTGTATGTGGGTTGGATACTGGGGGGAGAGTGGCTAGCCATAAAAGACTCTTTAACCCACCGTCCCGGTTCTCAAGGCTGGGCACCCAGTGTCCTGCTCTCATGTCATGTCATGTGTATTTGTGTATGTGTGTTTTGTATGGGGTTTGTGTATATATGTTGGTGGTGGTTTTTATTTATTTTCTCTATCTATCTATCTATCTACCTATGCTGGTATGTTATGAACTATAATTTCATGCAATACTTCGGGTGCACCTTTTTAAAACACCCACCCTGGGAATTTGTCTATTCTTCTCTCCACACTGCAAACTACCGGCAAGAACAAACTAGAGCACCAACTATTTTTTATACGCATGCGCATAAAGCCTGCAGTGATTCGCTACGAACACGAAGTGCGTAAGCATGGCACAGATTGCGAGAAACAAAAGATGTAGGGATGGGGTTATGACTGACCCTCTGTCTTAGTGTAGGCTTCTTGTTCCCTTCTTTTCATGACACACTGTCGTATAATATTTAGGGCAGCGGCAGCAGTGACTACGCGCATAGCTAACGGCGGAGAGCGGCTAGCAGCAGTGCGTATAGCTATCTGCCGTGTGTGCCTCCTGGGGTTGATTGTGAGGGATGGGGCATATATATGCCTGATGGTCGTCCTGCTGGCAATTGCGTGCATGTCTGAGGGTAAGTCGCCGCAGAGTAGCTGCATTTAACTAGCCCATTGCCTTCTTTCTGATAGGGCAAATGGAAATCGGTATTTTGGATGGATTCTCATCAACCCTGCGCTATCTCAACGGCAACTGCTCGTGGAGAGTTACTACAATTGTAGCAGGGAATGAGGTAGAGGTGACTGAGTGTAGGACACCTGACTACACTGGTTGGTGGAAGGGGAGTAAGATGAATTCACTTTGAAATGTGTAAACTGAGGAGGTGAGCACCTAAACTGCAATATCGTTACACACAGTAAGTGATATGGGTTCGTGAATGTTCCGTTGATGTTCCTGTGACACACAGCTCTTGAAACTATCCCACAACCCACAATCATTGCTCTGATTATAGACTGGGGACTCTGATTGGAGCCATTCATTCATCCTGATCTACAGTGGACTTTGAGTTATCCACCTGTCAGAGTCATCTACTAGTCAATGAGACAGACAGAGGAGAGTGCAGTAGACAATGATGTCACATGAGACCAGTCTCCAACATCTCTCATATGTCTGGACCATGCAAGAGACAGAGTTCACTGTTCGACTTTGGTCAATACATCTTACAGCATCAGCCTGTCACGTTCGTCATGACCCCATGGTGAATTAGTATAACACGATATCACACGTTAATGAACGAACAATACCCACTTATAGTTTCTGAGGTTCCAAGTTTTGCTCATCTCTCTGCCATGTTTGAAGATTCTAGTAATCTGTTGAGAGTTCAGGTAGGCCTGGACGTTCATTTCCAGCACGACCACAACATTCTTCCACTGTTTTAGGTTAGGTTTCGTCTTGCTGCAAAAGTGTGTCTCTCACAGTTCACAATAGTTATCTATGGTGTCGTCAATGTCTCGTTCAATGTTACAAGAGCTGAAGCTGCAAAAGGGACCGTAATATATGACCTTCCCTCCCACATATCTCCAATGGATGTTTGTGATGTACAAAGCGAAATTTATGGTGGAAATGTGATCGGCAACAGTAATTCATTCAGTATACTAGTTCCAGAAGGTAGTCTAGCTAACTCCTTGTGAAAACCATTGTATATCTGTAATAATATTCCACAGCTTGCCTTCCGTCCACCTCTGAAACTTTGTCAACGGGTGAAGGGAGACCCTCCACTTCATCTGCTCCACCCCCTGTGGAGATGAAACAGTCTGACATCCCTCCTGCGGTGATTGGTTCAGGTATGAATCATCCTCAATGGCAGCGGAATGATCGCTTTCATTTTCCATGCAGTTGGTGCTATTGTTGTTCTGCTGGTATCTTTATTTCTTGCGATAGCAGTCATATGCCTAGTGGTCCAACGTAGGAGGAGAGGTATGGGGTAATGGTCCAGTTTATGTGAGACATGGCCCCTGAGGTTTGATTTCTGTGCAGGTAAACAGGCTCCACCTTCACTATATATATATTTATCACCAGGAAGTGTAACTGCGGAGGTAACAACAGTAATGCCTAACTCTATGCTCTCTTCTCACAGGTAAAGGCAGTGGTGTTACAGAAGATGTCTCACTGCAGACAAATGAGGCCTACTGTACAGTAACTACTGGAGTTCCAATGAAGAGAAATGAGGCATATGAGACTGTGCTGAGACCAGAAACTGACACTCTATCTCCAGTGTATGATATTGTACACTTATAACCTGTAATGAAGAAAATGCGACAGCTCAGCAAAACACAATCATGTGACCATATGAGGATAATTGCATTCTTCTTCAAAATGTTATGAAAATAGCCCTTTATCTGGCAAAGACTTTTCACTACCAAAGTCACAAACAACTCCAACTACAGTAACTCTCAAGCTGCTGTGCATGCATGCTTTGGGTGCAGCTTTTTAAACCACCCACCCTGTTTATTAGTCTCTCCACACTGCAAACTACCGGCAAGAACACACTAGAGCACACCCCTCCCGCTATTATTTAGGCGCATGCGCAGAAGATGCGTTTCAGCGGCGATTCGCTACGAAGATGAAGTGCGTAAGCATGGCTATCTTCCGAGAAACAAAAGATGTAGGGATGGGTTATGAATGACCCTCTGTCTTGGTGTAGGCTTGTTCCCTTCTTTTTCATGGCACACTGTCGTAATATTTAGGTCGGCGGCAGTGAGTCAGTGACTCTGCTCGTCATGCGCGCGCCAGTCCAGACATAGCTAACGGCGGAGAGCGGCTAGCAGTAGTGTGTATAGCTACTGCCGTGTGTGCCTCCTGGGTTGATTGTGAGGGATGGGGCATATTTATGCCTGATGGTCCTGCTGGCAATTACGTGCATGGCTGAGCAGGGTAAGTCGCCGCAGAGAGCTGCATTTAGCTAGCCCATTGCCTTCTTTCTGATAGGGCAAATGGAAATCGGTATTTTGAATGGATTCTCATCAACCCTGCGCTATCTCAACGGCAACTGCTCGTGGAGAGTTACTACAATTGCAGCAGGGAATGAGGTAGAGGTGGAACTGAGTGTAGGACCACTGACAACACTGGTTGGTGGAGACGGAGGTACAGATGATGATTTCACTTTGAAGTGTATAACTGAGGAGGGCGAGCAACTGAATGCAATAATCGTTACACACAGTAAGTGATATGGGTTGTGAAATGTTCCGTTGATGTTCCTGTGACACACAGCTCTTGAAACTATCCCACAACCCACAATTATTGCTCTGGATTATGAGACTGGGATCCTCGATTGGAGCCATCCATTTCATCCTGATCTACCAGTGGACTTTGAGATTATCCACCAGTTCAGAGTCGTCTACCTAGTCAATGAGACAGACAGAGAGAGTGGGAGAGACAATGATGTCACATGAGACCAGTCTCAACATATCTCATGTCCTGGACCACTGCAGGAGACAAGAGTTCACTGTTCAGACTTTGGTCAATGACATCTTCTACAGTCAGCCTGTCTCGTTCGTTCATGACCCCAAAGGTGGGGTAGTATAACACGATATCACAATTAATGATTCATTCCCACAAACAGTTCCATTTTTTGAGTCATCTCTCTGCCATGTTTGAAGATTCTAGTAATCCGTTGAGAGTTCAGGTAGGCCTGGATGTTGATTTCCTGCATGACCACAATGTTCTTCCACTGTTTTAGGTTATGTTTCATCTTGCTGCAAAAGTGTGTCTCTCACAGTTCACAATAGTTATCTATGGTGTGGCCAATGTCTCGTTCAATGTTACAAGAGCTGAGGCTGCTAAAGGGACCGTAATATATGACCTTCCCTCCCACATATCTCCAATGGATGTTTGTGATGTACAAAGCGAAATTTATGGTGGAAATGTGATCGGCAACAGTAATTCATTCAGTATACTAGTTCCAGAAGGTAGCTAGCTACCCTGCTTGTGAAAACCATTGTGTATCTGTAATAATATTCCACAGCTTGCCTTCCGTCCACTCCTGAAACTTTGTCAACGGCTGAAGGGAGACCCTCCACATCATCTTCCCCACCCCCTGTGGAGACAAAACAGTCTGACATCCCTCCTGGGGTGATTGGTTCAGGTATGAATCATCCTCAATGGGGGTGGAATGATCACTTTCATATTCCATGCAGTTGCTGCTATTGTTGTTCTGCTGGTATCTCTATTTCTTGCGATAGCAGTCATATGCCTAGTGGTCCATCGTAGGAGGAGAGGTATGGGGTAATGGTCCAGTTGTCTGAGACATGGCCCCCTAAGGTTTGTTTCTAACATTCATGCTCTGTGAACATTTTCTCTGCAGCTCGTGAATGCAGTAGTGAGGATCCCCCAGCTTCTCCTAGGTATGTGGGCAAGGAGTGCACTTTGCCATAAGTAGTCCTGTTACATATATTGTAGTTAGGGATGTCCTTATAATATCACACTATGTCCATGACCTATTTAAGGCAATTTGGATAATGAACCACTACATTGTGAATATATATTATATGTCTGAAAGACAAAGCTATTGTGTGGTGGAACCAAGGACAGGAGCTAGTGAAAAGAAGTTGTTCTCTATCAACCCTACTTCTGAATATGCAGACATTGACCATGTTGAAACTGAACGAGTTAGACAGGTATACATGATTCCATGCTAAAAGATTCTTGCAATGTTTTGTCTTTATGGTGCAGCAACTTGAGCAAGCTAAAGCGGCTTCTACGCTTTCAAGGTATACACACATGCACTGCATGTTCATGTACAAGCACAGCAATCATGCCTAATACTATCCTAGTTATGATAGTTACACAATCAATTTTCCTACAGTGATGAGGCAGCAGTAGGCACACACAGTGAAATCTCCATCGAGCCTGCTATTTCTGGTGAGTCCTGGAGAACCCTTCGTACAAAGTTTCATGCCTTTCATTTCATTCAAAGGTCTCTCCCTGGAAGCCCACTATGACCTGTTGCTGGCTGTACTGCTGCCGGTGAAAGCTCGCTGGTTTGAGCTTGGGATGAAACTTAACCTCTCTGAGAACTTCCTGGACGAGACGGAGGCCAACATGGACAGTGTGGAAGAGTGTCTGGGTGAAATGCTACAGAACTGGCTCCTGTACCACGACCCCACTATGGAGACTCTAAATAACGCCCTCTCTCGGATGAAACTCTCCCCCATCACCTTCGATACCACCTCCAGCAGTATGTACCTAATACATCGTACCTGGAGCTGTGTACGTAGTCAAGTTGTTGTTGATTTTGAATGCTTATGGTTTTCCTTACCTGTTGTTTTCCCTCCGCACAGAGTTTGTGGGTTAAGGCTCCAGAGGACACAACAGTACTGTAACAGTGTGAATTAATTACTATGAATCCAAGATACTCTGTGGTTTTTAGATCAGCAAAATGGGTGGATAGTATAGTATTGTTTGTTGTTGTAGACCCCACAAGTAAAAAATCCATGCCACCTTTCACAGTGTTTGTCTGTTATGATATGCGTTTTCCGCCAATTCTAGAAAGATTTTTTGTTGCACAAAAAACTATCAATTTCAGGCAATATGAAACAAGTAAACCCCTACACTTTTATGCAACTGCAAACAATGGCACTCTATCTGGAAAGGTTCAAACCAAACAGGCATTTTCATCAAACCGCTCGTACTCAAACTCCGTATCAAACAATCCATCCACAATGTACTGAGAGTAAGACCCCTCAATCACAGAGTTGATTGGGTCACGTGACCTCTCGGGGCCACCTTGGGAGTTGCCCACATAGTAGCAGCCGTCATCAGAGAGATCACAGATCGAGGTGGTGTAGAACAGAGCAGGGGACAGTGGCGGTAGCTGGGGTTGTCTGGTGTAGAGTCTATAATCGTCAGAGTACTAGGTCACCCCATGATATTGGGATGTTCAAAACTGACCTGAGATGGAGTGTGAAAGGTCTGGTGAGGGAGTGTAAGAGAGTGGTGAGTGGACAGAGTATGTGGTGCAGTGTAGGCAAATTGACTAACTAAGCAAATTAGGGGAAGGAATGCATAGTGAGTTATAACAAATAAGGTGAGGAATATATAGTCCAATTGGAGTTGTGAGTGTGTAGGAGCCACAGTAAACAAGATCAGAGTAATGTAGTGGGACTCACCGAGGAGACCGTGGGAGGAAGGGCGGAGGGAGGAGCCTCGGTTGACGTCGAAGCGAAGTTGTTGGACTTGCAGGGTGACACCACATACCAATCCAGGTCGCTGGCAGTTGGGTACCGCCACCCTCCACAGGTTAATCATCACTCAACTCACCCTGAGGTTTGTTTCTACTCATTTTCTGTGCAGGTAGATAGGCTCCACTGCACTATTCACCAGGCAGTGTAAACTGCAGAGGTAACAACAGTAATACCTAACTCTATGCTCTCTTGACAGGTAAGGATGCAGAAGATGTCTCAGGAGTCTTCTTGTTCCCTTCTTTTTATGGCACGCTGTCGCCTTACGGCGACGGCGTATTGTGCGCGCTAGTTTCATCGGGCGTGAGCCACGGCAGACTTGTGCGTGCCGACTATAGCTAGCAGTGTGTGTGCCTGGGTTTGATTGTGGGCCGGGATGGGTCGATGTTTATACCTAATGGTCCTGCTGGCAATTACGTGCATGGCTGAGGGTAAATCGCCGCAGAGTGGCTGCATTTCGCTTGCCTATTGCCTTATTTCTAATAGGGCAAATGGAGATCGGTATTTTGGATGGCTTCTCATCAACCCTGCGCTATCTCAACGCGCAACTGTCGCGTGAGAGGATACTAGAACAGCAGAGCGGGTGAGGGTAGCCTCGGACCAGGCGAGTGCATCGGTACACAGAGGACTCTGGTGTTGCGCGACGGAGGTACAGGATGAACTCACTTGAAATGATGTGCGAAACTGAGGAGGGCGAGCAACTGAATACAGTAATCGTTACACACTGTAAGTGCATGGATGTGTAATTTGTCGTCAATGTGACTGGGATCCTCGATTGGAGCCATCCATTTAGTCCTGACTTCCAGTGACTGTGAGATTACCCACCAGTTCAGAGTAGCTTACCTAGTCAATGAGACAGACAGAGAGAGTAGAGAGACAATGAATCCAAATGTAGACCAGTCTCACACATACCTCATGTCCTGGACCACTGCAGGAGACAAGAGTTGTCCTGTTCGGAATTTGTGCAATGACATCTTCTACGTTAGAGCCATCCTACTTAACTAACCCCCTGGTAAGTTGTAAGCATATTAGCCACAGCCATTGAACTTTTCCATTAGGCCCAGTTTTCCTCACTCCTGAGCCATCACTGTGGAAGAAGATGATAATACACTCAGGTAAAGTAGAGAGCTTTGCAGTAGTAGAGGCATTTATGCTATTGTTTTTTTCACCAGGTGAAGTTTTCTCTTTGGACGTCGTGTGTATCTCTCAGTTTACACGTAATCATTATGGACTTGTCAAGATCTCTTTCATGTCACCAGCTTGAAGAGAGATTGGAGAGGGTGACATTTTACCTCTCTCCAAATATCTCCAGGGATGTCTGTAATGTGGATGCTGTGGTCTATGGTAGCAATGATTAATGGAGAGAGTAAACCAGTTGTAATCCCCTTGGAGGACTTACACTCGATCCAGTGTATTGATATTGTACAGTAAAAGTTAAAGTGAAAGAAACGTGACAGCTCCTTGCAAACACGTTATGTGACCGATAGTGAGAATAGGTTTTTCAAAATGTTATGAGAAATAGCACTTTTGTATGCAAAATACTTCACTAAAAAGTCACAACAATGCTAAGTGCTGTGCAGCATACTTTGGGTGCAGCTTTTTTAAACACCCCAAGTGCTTTTGTCTTATCTTCTCCACACTGCAAACTACCGCAGGAACGACTAAGCACACACTCCCACTATTATTTGGAGGCGCAAAGAAATCAGAAGTGATCGTTTGCGCCGGCGATTCGTCTGACGAAGATGAGTGAGTAGCATGGCTGAATATTGCGAGAAACAGAAAGGTAGGAATGGGGGTGATTGATGACCCTCTGTCATGTGTAGGATTGTTACCTTCTTTTTCTTGACACACGTTAGTAATAGCTTGAGGGAGGCGGCATGAGGCCCATTAGCGCGGTACGGCGGAGGCGCCGGCTAGGCTAGGATGCAATAGTATAGTGCGTATAGCTAATGCCGTGTGTGCTCGGGGGATTGATTGTGAGGGGGTGTGTATTTTTATGCCTTATGGTCTTGCTGGCAATTCGTGCATGGCTGGAGGGTAAGTCGCTGCAGGAAGGGCTGCATTAGTTAGCCATTGCCTCTGATAGGGAAATTGAAATGCGGTATTTGGATGGATCTCATCAACCCTCGCATATCAATGGCAACGTGGAGAGTTACTACAATTTAGAGGGAATGAGGGATCAGAGGTGGACGAGTGAGGACACAGACAAAGTCGGTGGGGGAGATGGAGGTCCAGTTGAATGCACTATGACAGTGGTGAAATGGGAAGGAGAGCAAATGAAGGAAATGATCGGACAAAGTAAGTGATGGCATTGGTAAAAGGCGCCATTCGATGTTTCCTGAGACACACAGCTTGAGATATCCAAACGCCACAATTATTGATAGATATGAGACTGGGGATCACTAGTTGGAGGCTTCAATCTCCTGCTTCATCGTGTAGACCTT